AATATAAAGCAAGCACAGCTTGTCTTTGTCAAAATTCCTTAGTGAAGCCCTGCAATGTGGTGTCTTGTATCGGTGGAACTTCAATCCCCTGAAGTTTCTTAGGTTGTTGCTCCCAAATGAAGTCCATGGTTAGCTTCTTCCAATCACAAACTACTGAACCCAATGTTTCTAACCACTGAATTCCTAGCATCATATCCAAACCAGTTAAAGGCAATGAAAAGAAATCAAGTTGGAACTCATTACCTTGTAAATCAACCGAAAGCTTTTCATATTTCCCTTTAAATGATAATCTTTCTCCATTGGCAATTCTGACAGTAAACGATTCCGTAGGCTTCACGGGCAAGTGAAGCATTTCGGCTACTCGATCATTGATGAAGTTATGAGTGGATCCACTATCGATTAAGGCGACCACCTCATGAGCTCCAATAATAGCCTTAATTCGTTATTCTCGGTGTAGTCCATCCAGTTAGAGCATGTAGAGTGATCTTGGGCTCCTTTATGCTAACATCTTCCTCAACCTCGGGTATTTCCCTTGCCATGTTTATCCTTCCAATTTCCTCCAACGCTTCATCTTCTTGTATACAACCCTCTAGGATCATCAATTGTGGTGCTTGACACTTATGTCCAAGGGTGAACTTTTCATTGCAATTGAAACATAACCCTTGAGTCCTTCGTTTCTGCATTTCATCCCAAGATAGTCTTCTAATTGTTGCTTGTGTGGAACCTGTGGGAGGATCGGGATTACTTACAGTGGCGGAAGCTCGTAAGGCACTTGGCCGTGTGAATCACCTTTGTCTCGAAAGCTAGTCGTCCCTCATTTTTGCCAAACTAATTGCCTCTTTTATAGATTGAGGCTTGAACATCCTTATTCCGTTGGCCACCTCTGGTTTCAAGCCTCCCATGAATGTACCCAAGAGAGCTTTTTGGGTCCATCAGCGAACCCTGTTCCTAAGCCGTTCAAATTCCCGTTGATAGTCTCACAATGTTCCCGTCTGTTTAACTTGGGATAGAGCTTCGTCAAAGTCTTCAAAGTCAGGTGGTCCCAACCAAGCTCTCACTTCATCTTCCAAGTCTTCCTGTGAGATACTCCTCTATTCTTCATCAACTGCTTTCCGAAACCACTGCCACCATTGATTCGCCTCACCTTCGAGATGAAACGAAGCTAGATGAACCTTTTGATCATCGGCTACCTCTTGAAACTCGAATAACTGGTCCACGCAATTGAGCCATTCCGTCGAATCATCTCCAGAAAATTTCGAGAATTCCAACTTTGCAATCTTGGAAGAAAATGGCCAAGTGTTATCATTTGTATCTTGGTTGATTCGGTTGGGTCCTTCACGTTGATAGTTAGGGTATTCAAAAGCGGTTAACCGACCGGTTAATCGCTTTTTTGAATCGAATCGATTTGGAAAAATTCCCGAATCGAAACCGAACCGATTTGGAGGAAAAACCGGTTAACCGCTTTAAAAAAAAGCAATTAACTGGTTTTGAACCGGTTTTCCCTTTCTTTTTTATAAAAATTTTTTTTTTCCTAAATTAAATTGTAAATATAAACAATACATATTCAAATAAAAATTAAACATTCATACATATCCATTGACCACTACTAACAATACATTAAAAATATTTTTATTATTTTTATTTAATATATAATATAATATATTGTTTTTTTATTTTATATATATATATTTGAAAAACCGATTCAAAAAATTGGTTTCGGTTAACCGCTTTTTATTTTTTCCCGAACCGGAAATTCGGTTTTTTGAATTTTTCGAACTGTAACCAAACCGTTTTTCCGGTTCGGTTCGGTTTTTGCATTTTTTTGAACACACCGCTACTGATAGTTAGTGTGGCTAGGCGATCCTCTACTTTAAAGAAATGCTTCAGATAGTCTTGCAATGGTATCCTCTAGTCGTTGGATTTTGTCCTTGATTCCCACCTCCATCCGTTGCATCCCATCTTAAACTCCTCCGAGCCCCTCCTCTAGAAGCTCGATCCGTTCCTTGTTTGCCGTCATGAACCTGGCTCTGATACCAATGATAGGTCCCAATCAGTACAAGCACGACAAACACACAGAATGTATTCTCTTTGGGTGATAATTAACCACAAATATAATAACTTCTGATCTCTCCTCTCATTGCCTTCCCTCTTAGTTTATACAACAAAGGAAATAACTGAAATTAAGCTAATGGCATCCGACTCTTTAGGAGAATCAGTCGCCTACTACACCTGAATTGCAAACGTGCAATGAAACTGAAATAAACTAGCAAATACATTGAAAGGAAATAACACTGAAATAAGATAACTAAGGCTGAGAAGAAGGCTAGCAATTGGCTTTAGGGCATCAGTCCATATAACGTGGGGCCCGAGAGGATCTCCTGGGCTTATCAGGTCCACATGAGTTATGTAGCAAAGAGTATTGCAATGACATGTGTTAGATCAGGAACGGTGAGGAGATTAATTTACACAGGCAGCACGGTTTCTGCATCACCACTAATGGATGATGGTACTGGTTTTAAGGACTGCATGGATAAAACATGTTGGACAACTCTTAATCTTTCATGTTCTTACTCTAATGATTTTCTAGGGGTAAGTTTAATTCTACTGTTATGATCAGTACTCATCACAAGTTATTATATTCCCTGGGCTATTGAGTTGACTTACCACCCAAGTAAAGTTTTTTTCCAGAAGACAGAGCAAATTTCGCTTAGTTAACTGTGGCTGGCGCAATGAGGTCCATATGAGTTATGTAGAACAATTAATGGGGCCAACTTATATTATGTTGGGAGTTTACCTATATTGAAGTACTCAAAGTCCAATCAACGTGTGTAGTAACTTTTTAATAAACTTCTGAGGTCCCTCATTGACTTTTTAATCATGAATCATTACCCGGATTTGCAGTTTTTGTGGTTGCAGATATGTTCAGCCAGTCTGGTAATTAATGTAACATGGTGGCATCTAGCATGAATTCTATCTTGTCAATAGTATTCACATTTGAAGGAAAGGAAATTAAGTGTGCGTGGGGAACTAATAATGATCAGTAACAAAATATAGTTTCATTAAGCCATGTAGTTTTCAGATCAGTTTCCTTGCGTTGAAGTTGTCATGGCCTTTTTAATCTAATTAAATCCCCCGCTACCACTAATCGTTCTGTACCTCCCAATGTCAGCAGTTAAACATGCATGAAGACTTTGAATGCTCTTCAGTCTTCTCTTAAACTTCAAACATTTGAAACTCATTTATGTGGCAAATAAGTTAGAGCATGCATTATATATTATTTTAGTTGGAACTGTTACTAACTGCTGTAGCTGTACGTTTTCTCTTTTGGGGACCGTACATCTTTGAATAAAGAAAATCATATTTGTACTACCTTTCCACTCTTGTTTTCTTCTCAGCTACTTGTTATTATTAGCTACATAAGCAAAGATGGCATAACTTCAATACTCTTCCGAGTTAGGTCAAAAGTTGTTCATTTATTATTGTAATTTTCAAAAGTCTGTTTAGACCGCAATCGGAATTCGCTAAGATGTATGTCATCATTTTAAAGTGTAGACAGACTGATCGATTTTAACGATGCATAACACAATTTGACCAACAGCAACAATTAAACAAATTGAATAAACAGAATCAGATTAAACTAAAGTGAAAATCAAACTCTTGGTTAAGGAAATAGAATCATAAACATGAGCCCACATCCACATATCAGATTAATCAATGTAGTTACCAGAAAGAGACAGGCTTTTCTGAAAAGTCCAGCGTCGTTTTATACCTCAACGCCTCCAGGGAACGTTTTCTGTTTGGTTCCGAAGGTGTACGCTGTCTTCTCCACAGACCAAAGTTTTAAAACCCAATTTTGATGAGATGTTTGATCATTTACCATTTTATTTTTTTATTTTAGCATTTTAATTATTATGCTTTCAGATATTTATATATGCCAATTAACTCAATGCGGATACATTATATAAAAAATCTATTGGTTTTTCTTTCTTTTAATGGTTTGAATTGGTTAGGCAGGCACAGTTTTTAAAACAAAGACGGTTAACGTTTTAGTTTGAACTTTGACCAGGCTTGGCTCCCCGGAACAGAAGGGACAAGGGCTATCACAAAATGACGCTCATCTTATTACTTATAATATTCGCCTTGCAGCGGACGCCTTGTTAGACTTGTTTTCTTGCTGACTTTTATTTCAACTTATGCTCGCTGTTCATGCCTGTTTCTTTCAGTCACTCGTACTGACGTCGGCTCAATGAAAACCCAGATTTTTTTTTTTTTTAACGAAATTTACTTTTATAGGAGTTTTTAAAAAGAGAAAGAATTTAAACAAATTAAATTTAACTAAATGTTCACTATAAAATAAAGTTTTAAGTAAAAATATTTTTGTTAAAAAAAGGAAATATATCATTGAATTAAATTTGAGTTATTTATGCTTTCTTAATGAGGCGTTTTAACCGAAGGAGAGAATTTAAGACGATTGTATTATTAGTTGACTTGTCCTTGGGACGGCATTTTGCATTAATTTATATGATATTGACTTTCATTCTTTTTCTGTGATCAGAAGTAATTAGCAGTATATAAATATATGTTATTATTCTGTTTAATTATTTTTATCATTTATTAAATTTGTTTATTTTTTATTTATTTTTGTAAAGTTAGGTTGTTAGTGAAATTATTCTTTTTCTTTTTCTTTTTCTTTTCCCATTTTTAGTTTGCTATACATAAAAGACCTGGAATGGTTTATCTGAATTCTTGTTTTATATTTTTGTCATTCTGCGCTATTAAATTACATATTTTCGATAAAACCATCAAGATAATGCATAAGTTTCCAACAGTCAAAGCTTTTACGAAATTAAATTTAATATAAAAAAATTTATATTAATTTTCAAAGTAAACGAAAGGACTGAGCTTACTAATTATTAATTTTGAATTACATGGGGGAAGCAATTTGGTTTGGCCCGCCCGGGCTATATATATATATAAGCTAGCGTTCCTATATTGCTTCATTTTGTGTTAAAATACAAATACTTTCATAATGGAGAAGAGAAACTGTAAGGTATGTGTGACAGGAGGTGCAGGTTATGTTGGTTCTTGGCTTGTCAAGAAGCTTTTAGAGAAAGGATATACTGTCCATGCAACTTTAAGGAACTTGGGTATCTCTCTTTCTTTCTCAACCTTTTGAATTCCTTTAGCTTGTTGAATGCTAAGACACACAAATTATGATCAATTGATCTTCAGTAATTTAATGATGATCTGTTTTTTTTTTTGTCTGTAACGTTGAAAATTTAATAAATAATAAGAAATCAAATTTAATTTACTCTCCGATGTACATTACAGATGACCGATCTAAGGTTAACTTCCTAAAGAGCTTTCCTGATGCGGACACAAGATTATTGTTGTTTGAAGCTGACTTATATGATCCAGATAAGTTTGAATTTGCAATCCAAGGCTGTGAGTTTGTTTTCCATGTTGCCACTCCCTTCAGACACACCGACGGCTCTCAGGTTTATTTTCCGTTGGTTTTTATCAGTTTTTCACATGCAGATCCTTATACTTTACAACTATTATTGTTGCAACCATGTTTCTAAAAATTTGTATTTAAGATTTTAGTATTCTTCATTAAACAGTTCAAGAACATGACTGAAGCCACAATTGCTGCGGCAAAGAGCATTGCAAAGTCATGTATTAGATCAGGAACCGTGAAGCGACTAATCTACACCTCCAGCATGATTTCTGCATCACCGCTTACGCATGATGGGACTAGTTTTAAGGACTGCATCGATGAAACGTGTTGGACACCTCTTAATCTTTCCTTTACTAACGATAATCTGAGTATCATGGTTAGTTAATTAGTTTCTTACTTGGTCTCTTATCATTACTAATCTAAGTTTATGGCGTTGAGTAGTTTAATTAGTTGATGAAATGATGATAAATGTCAATGGAGTGGGTAATGATCAATTTGGCCTCAAGGGTTCAAGTCTGTCAAACCATATCGCAATATACTGTACAATGAGTTGGGCTTCTATATAGGATAAATGATTCTTAAATTGATATCATGCTTCAGGAATATCGACATTCGAAAATACAGACAGAAAAAGAAATGTTGAGCTACGGCAGCAATACCGACGGTGACAGGTTGGAAGTGGTAACTCTGGACATCGGACTAGTGGGCGGGGAAACTCTTCTATCTTACACACCCTCAACCGTTGCAATGTACATTTCGCAGCTTACCAACAGCAAACATCTCTACCAAGCACTAAGGTTCACCGAAGATTTGCTGGGAAAAATTCCAATGGTACACGTCGATGATGTTTGTGAAGCACACATCTTCTGCATGGAGAATCCTTCAATCAATGGTAGATTTTTGTGTGCAAGTTCATATGTTTCATCAGCTCAAATCGCAAATTACTACCAACAAAATTATCCAGAATTTCACTTCAACCAAGAGTAAGCAATTGGGCCCTTTCACTGTTTTATCACACGATGCCATATTTAAATTTCCAGATTAGTTAATTATAGATATTTTCTTATTCTCATCCGAGTTAGTCAACGTAGCCTTATATTGCAGACTGCAGAGTGTTATCTTGAATTCTGTTATTTGAAGTCTTTAATGGGACTGTGAAATTGGGTTTCAGGTATTTGGATGGGCCAAAAAGAGAAATAATATGGGGCGGCACAAAGCTTATAGAGAAGGGTTTTGAATACAAGTACGACACAAAGATGATACTGGATGGTAGCATCGAGTGTGCGAGAAGAACGGGCGGTCTAAACCAGTGATGGTTTCTTATTTTGAAGTTCTGATGGGTTTTTGGATAAAATAAATTGATCTACAATAGTAACGGTTTCAGAAATTTTTGTTTGGATAGGTCAAAATAAAATATAATAACATATAATATTTATATTCTATGTTTTTAGTTGAAATTGAAATAAAAAGAAAAAAAATTTCATATAAATATATTTTTTTTTAATTTGAGGGTGGGCTACTCTAGATCCACCCCTGTCCACAATGTTGTGTCGAAAGTGTCGGCAATCATCTACAGAAAGAGTAAATGACATATTCCCACCCAAGGTTTGACGAAATCTCAAGTTGGTATCCCATATTACATTTATTTCAGATTCTCATCTTTAAATTGATGGAAAAATGTTTGATGTAACGGTAAAGGGGTAAATTGGTCATTTTACATGGGCGGCGCATGTTAGCAGACTGCTGCCTCTAACAGTCCTTTGGCGCACCTTAGCAAACGGCTTCCCCAATGTTTTTCGCCCTTTTTCCGGCGATTCTTCCACCCAAAATCACTATTGTCACTACCATTTGAACCCTCATCCTCCCCTCTACAAAACCATACCCTTCACAACCCCTCATCGCTCGTTGATCGCCGGCCACAGCAGCCTCGACATGCAACTGGTTTTTGTCGGTTTTTGGCCGTTTTGAACGGCAAAAACCCCAACCACCACCACCATTTGACTTCTCGCATCCTCCCCTACAAAAGCCCTAACGTTCCTAGCACGGCAGCTCACCTTTTGTCGTCCACCACTTCACCAAAAAATGGTCGATGAACACGAACTCTCGACTGGTGAACGGCAACGAAACGGTTACTGGGGACATAGGAGTTTTATAGATTTGGAGACAGTGGTTGTAGTGGCGGTGTCCAATTGGATTTTCACCGTCGGAATTGATTGGAATTCAGCAAAGAACACCAAACCCTAATCCTAACGGCGCCGACGATTGGAGGGACCAATGAGTCAGGAACCAGAGGGTTTTGGACAACGTACTATGGGGAAGGTGATGGAGGTGACCACGGGGTTCAATGCCGACGGAAACAACCCAGATCGAGTTGTTTTCGATTAGGGTGTGCAATGACCGAGAGTGTTTTTGACATAATTTGAAAATAAAATAGTAAGTTTTATAATTCTACTAATTTAAGGGTTAAAACATAATTTATTAATTTAGGGTTAAGGGTATTATGGTAATTACACCTTCTAAACCCTAAAAATTGCTAACACTGTTGTTTAAGGGTGAAAATTTGAAACAAATGTAACCTGGGGTTTGATTTCGTCAAACCTTGAGTGGGAATACGTCGTTTACTCTCTGTGGAGATGTCAAACTCCTTTTCGTGGCTAATAAGTTGAGTGTGGTCCAGCTTTGATTTTAAATTGTGGCTGACCCAAAACCAACAATTATTTTAGGGTTAAGGGTATTATAATAATTATATCCTCTAAACCCTAAAAATTGCTAACATGATTGTTTAAGGGTGAAAATTTGAAATAAATGTAGCTCGGGGTTAGATTTCGTCAAACCATGGGTGGAAATTTGTCGTTTACTCTATGCAGAAATGTCAAACTCGATTTCGTGGCTAATAAGTTGAGTGTGCTCCAGCTTTGATTTTAAATTGCGGCTGGCCCAAAACCAACTACTAACTTTTTAAGTTCAACCTAGTTGTAACACGTGTAACATTATATCATCACCATATAATACCAATAGAGGAAATATTCCCCGTGGGAAGTACAACCAGCGAACCATGGGGTATGAAAAATTTACTCATACCATCCTATTAATTTACATTTATGGTTTCAATTGGTGACATATGCTTTCTTTTATTTTAGGCTTTAGCATAAACAAATCATCACATATTTAAATACTGAAACTCATCCACAGAATCCAAAACCAGTGTGATAGGATTTTGTACGGTTTGTCGTTATAACATATAGTTTAATACGATTTGTCGTATGAAGGGATTGGAAGAAAGGAACGAAATGTCGTACTAAAAAGCTATACATGATGATGTCATATTATTTTGTGTAATCCCAAGTAAAACAAAAAATTTTAAACGATGAACTTTTGTACATTTACAAGGTCTATCTTGTGGTTTTGCGTACCCTTTCATCTCTTTTATGGGTCCAACATCATTAATATATAATTAAAAGTTTATTGAGAATTTTTTTTTTTTTTATAATCTCATTTCTAGCTCAAATCACTTTTCCAAACGGTTTTATATACCTATTTGTACAAGTTATTTGGAATTTCACATGATAGCTCAAGTGAATTGCCAATTGCATTGGAGTAAAACTGCATAAATACGATGACGATAAAACATTGGATGGCAGTCTCAAGAGTGAGGAGAGTTTGAAATTTGAATACAACATGATTTAATTAATTTAGATACACTAAAACTGCAGTTAGGCCGTTTTTACTATCCATATGATATGGTTCTAGAGGATGTCTTCATCATAGTATTCGTTTCTCTTACGTTTACTTTGTTGTTCTCAGTTCCTAAAATTTTATTTCGTGATAATTTCGCTGTTCCGACTTAACAGTCACTTTTCTGCTTCTGCTAAAGAATATTATATTTGTTATTCAAATATATATCATTAGCTCAAAAGTAAGGAAATTTTACATGGTACAAGATTGCAATTTTGTGCCTAGGTTTCTAGAACTTGCAAATGAAATCTATGTCGATTAACTAAGTACACAGGAGGGTGACGAACAGAAAAAAAGAAAAACCAACTACCAAATCAAGAAAATTCTCTTGTGCCGCAAATCTTTCCAACGCTGGCTAGGATCAGTTGCTAGTCTCACTCACTCTTTTACTGGGCGCGATGAGGCCAAAGAAACATATCATGAGAAATAGTCTAGGTTGTCGAAGGGGAAATTTGGGTCAAAATCCACCTTAATAAGTGAGAAATCAAGATCCACAGTTGGTGAATTTGTGACTGAATTTGGGGTTGAAATTATCTCAGTGATTCCAGACTCTGGAGTACGCACAGTTTGGTCTAATCCAAAGCTGTTGTTCATGTGGCATGGTGACACTGAGAAATAGTTGGATTCAGAAGTTGTGGGCGATAAAAATGATGGAGAAAAACTACCCATGAAATTGTTTTCCATTTCCATCATGGACTCTTTGAAAATATCGTGCTCCATATTTTCAGTTTCAGTAATTGATGTTTGTGGAAAAGAGAACGAAGGAAATATTTCCTCCTTGTTGTCCAGGTCCTCGGTCTTAACTTTGAGCTCCGTTCCAAAATGGATCATGAACTCTTTTGATTGCTTTACTTTATCTTCTGGTTCCTGTTGATTATGATAACGACTCTGTTTATCTTTAGCCCCTTCCTTTGTTGATAAAGCAGAGGGTATAGCCAAACGAGTGTTCTGGCTGCATGTATGTCTTCCTCGATAGGTCACCTCAAAAATGGTAGGGTCGTCGTCCGATCTTTGAACAAGTTTTGTGGCCAAACAACCTTGTGCGTGACGATGAGTGCATCTATAATACCCTCTGCAAATTGTGACAAAAAAAATTTCAGAGGAACAGTCAACATATCTAATCAAGTTAAATTAGATACAAAGACGCGAAAACAATTATGTAAAAGGCAAAAGTCCAAATAGTGAAAACACTGCATATGTTCATGGGAAATTTATGCGTATGTTAAATAATGCACTTCACATCATAGGGTTTTGTCTTTTTAAGAAGAGTACTCACCAATAATTGAAGATAAGAAATTATACATATCCTTTTGATTCTAAGAAAAAAATTTGTGAACCAGAGATTTGGTTTTAGTTTTGAGGACCAGGCCTTGATATATATAGCTAGTAGTTCAATAGTTAATTACTTTTCTAAAACACGTCATATGAAAGATACATGGCCTACAACGTGAAAAGAGAAATCGTTTAAAAGGCGCCCTAAGGACAATATGAATTGCTATCACCAATCACCAGTACTAGAGCTTAATGACCGAATTAATTGTAACAGAGATGCATGAACCTTGCAACATAAACAGCTAAAAGACAGAACCAAACTTAAAGTTTCTCTGGTGCTCAGGCTTGAGAGAGATGCGACTGAGTCAGGTTTGGCGGCCTAGATTGATTAGCTCTAGCCTCTAAGGCTGATAGTAAATGGGCTGTGGCCAAGTTCAAGTACTAATGTACTATATGACCTGTAGATATAAATATCCATTTAATGTATTTCAAAAAGGTTTTTTTTTTTTTTTTCTTTTCGATTAGCGGGCAGTGGACACATGTTTTTGTGAGTGAACAATGAATAATCGAAGTAGATAAGTTCGTATTTGTGGCAAAAATATAGGCACTGTCAGTTTAGATAAGCGAAAAAAAAAAAAAAAATTGTGGGTTAACCTTTGTCTAATGCTCGAGGTATTTTAATTAGCGACACTGATTATCATTAGACATAGACTGGCCAATTAAACTCCGTGATTTAGAAAATTATCGAAAGTTTGTAAGTAAAAAATCTTCTTACCTTGGATAACTAGCACCAAGAATATCCTTTTGTCCGTATTTTCTCCAGCAGTAGCCATCATCAAGAGGCCCTTCTAACCCTGTCCCGTAGCAAACCTTTACTTGTTCAGTCCACCGGGCCATTGTCTTTCTGCAATACAATAATTCAAAATTAGATCAAGTTCAATCATAAGTTGCAGAAATGTCAAAAAAAAAATTGCAAATCGCCTAAATTTACCTCTTCTTATACACATCTTTACTGTGACATTGATCTTTACAATCTTGATCCGAAGCCTCATTTGTTGGGCTACACTTGGGAAAGGAATATGGTGATGCTAAGATTGTAATATTATTGTTCAGCTTACGGTCAACCGGAGAAGCACCAGAGTTCAACACTGAAAGCGCTTTCTCATAAGTAGAGAGAATTTTCTGGATTACGAGTTGTCGAGTTTTGGGCGATGAAGAAGGGTTGCTAAGCTGTTTAGTTAGCTCCTTCCCTTGGATTAGTTCACTGATGAGAGTGTTTTGCTCTGTATCCATGGTCTTTTCCATACAGAAAATTCACTAAAACTGGAATACAAATAGTTAGATAATTAATAGATGGAGACAATTGAAGCGAAGAAGGAAGAATAAGATCCAGTGGAAGAGATGAGGTGAACAAAATGTGAGAGAAGAAGTGACCGAAAAGAAAACACCAAACTTGGTTTATAATTTGGCAATGATCAAAGAGAGAGGGAGATATAAATTTAACGGGAAGAAAGAGGGTTGTTAAAGCAAATATGAATGTAAAAGGGAAAGGCAAAGGCAAATAACTTTTCTTAGTGAGGAAGGTGGGCAGAAGAGCAGGGGATATGCTGAGGATATGAGCGAGAAATGATATGGAAAAAGAGCAACTTTTGACTGTGGGGTGAGAGAGAGAGAGAGAGGGGTTTGTTGTTTTTTTCACAAAAGGAACAATTGCTGGTAATGTTATAATATAGAGAGTGTGAGAGATGAGAAGAAGAAGGTCCAAATCTGACCCATTCAATACTTTGTTTAAATTGACTAGTAGTAATGGAAAAAAAAAAAAAAAACATAGTAGAAAATGAGTGATGTGGCAGCAAGAATCTTCAAAGCTTCTTCCGCGTAATCACTAGACAGATGATGAATCGGATGGATGATGTGACGTAACTTGATTGCGTCACATGTAACCCAGTGCTTACGCTGATGTTGATTGATCACCCATGTGAGCCACAACCCACGTTTATGCCTTTTATTTATATTTTTCAGCTACAGCACCTCCTCCTTTTTATTCCTTTTGAGAAATATAAATAATATATAGAGTAAACTAATTTTCTCACCCAAGGTTTGGCAAATTTAGTTCCCACCTTGCTTTCATAAATTCCAAATTTCTAACCTTAAATTAATACTATTACTTTTCTTTTAAAATAACCCTTACATCTCAAATTTCTCTTGAATAACCCCCAAAGGTGATCCCGACGAAGCCAAAAATCTGGCTTGATTCCAACACCATTGGACCTCCCCGAACCATCATCAACACCCCCTTATCCTTCTCACCAAAACCCTAACTTTTCCACCTGATTGCACCTCGGCAAGGTGCTAGAATTTGGTTGGAAAAGTGCAACAAAATGCAAAAACCTAAGGGAGAGGCCACGACTATCGACAAACAATTGCGATTGGCAATATTGGGGGTTTTGGTGGGGGGAAGTCGGTGATGCTATTGGTGGTGTAAGGGGTGGTTTTTGATGCTGGGATCTGCTAGAATTTGGATGAAACGCCGACTGAAACTAAGAGTAGCGATTGGCGATTAGGGGGTTCAATCAGACAAGGAGGTAAGGGTTTTGATGTGGGGGTCAAAGGGATTGTAATACTGGTGTCGGGAGGGGTTGACTGCACCAAAATAGGGCGGAAGGGCCTGAAATCACTGGTGGGGTGAATTTGAGAAGTTAAGGTTATTTTAAAATTTTCCAGTGGGGTGAATTTGAGAAGCGAAGGGTTATTTTGAAATTTTTATCTTTAAAATGACTGTTTTACCTTTTTAACTGTTAAATTAAATAGTTTATGTTAATTTAAAAGTAAGAATATGTAATTTATGAAAAATAATGCTACAATTACCGAAGAGTGTGTATCAAATTTGTGTACTGAATGACGTAATAAAATCATAACTGTTAATTCATTATAAGTTAATATTAATCAACGGTCAATATTTTGTTACGTTATTCGGTGTATAAATTTGATGTGTAACTTTTAGTAACTCTATTATTTTTTGTTTATGAAACTATAGATGGGAATTTGTAGATTGGCCAAACCTTGATGGGAAAATGGGGTTTACTCTAATGTGTGTGTATAATAATTACAAACGTGGGAAAATGGGGTTTACTCTAATGTGTGTGTGTGTGTGTGTAATAATTACAAACGTATCTAATGCTCTAAATTTTATGAGTACCTACCGGCTACCGATCCAAGTTGAACTGTTGAGGTCGCCACGTTAGGCAAGCCCAGTAGAAGACAAAAACAGTTCCGCGTCCCTGTGCTTTGGAATTTAAAACATTTTAAATATACCATTTGTCATATCCATATTTTTTTATTTAATAATAATAATAATACCTTTCTCCTGAAACTTTCTCAATACCAAGTAGCAATTTCATGGCGTATACAAAATCATGGTAGCATTAAGAGGTGATTAGGGTGATAATTGTTATGTCTCAAAAGTCACGCTTATGTCAGTCTAATAAATATGTTATCAAACCTATATCTCTTCAAAGATATTCACACCAACTTTATCTCATTTCAAAGAGATAAATGGACGAGAGTCTTCTATGTGTCAAGACAACTTGCAAAACACTCATTACATTATTAAGTGTTTAGGTGTATAAATGGGCACTTCTCTTCCCGAAGAAGGAGGTTAGGCTGAGATTTGAGCTTTATTTCATTCTCTGTTTGTAAACACTATATTTCTTCATCTTTGTATGCCTTACGGGCAAAATCATAGAAATAGTTAGAGATCAATAAAATAACAGTGGATGTAGAAGTCGCTTGTTGAGCATCCAAACCACTATAAAAACCCCTCTTGCCAATCTTTTATTTATGTTTTCTGTAATATATATAATCTCAACTTCATATTCAAATCTCATGAATCCATCACGTGTGATTCTTAAGTCCACTTAACACTTTTTACGTGTGAGTCGTTAGTATCCAAAATCAAGCGTCAACAGTTATTTATCGTAAAATATATCACTTGTCAATGGTAAATAATGTGATTATTAAAGTCGTCAAAATGTCTTGCTCAAAACAAGGAAGTTTTGTAAAAAATAGATAAATAAAAATAAGGCTGTAAATTGATTGTATTGGATAATAAATATACAACACTACTGACAATCATTGAGGGTTAACTCACATAAATTATTAATTATGAATCGTAAGCAATCATAGGCTGGTTATTTTTAACTTTTTATTTTATTATTTTATTCATTAAACTATTTATAATCAGTGGTGGGTTCAGAAATTTCTGTTAGAATGGACCAAACTAAAAATTAATTATATATTAATATTTTTATCTATTAATATTTTTATTAGTGTAGACCAAAATATATAAATTATATATATTAACAATTAAAAAATAAAAAATTTGATAGTGGGCCATGTGGTTGGATCCGTCCCTGCTTATAATCTCTATTTTTTTAATATTTTGATATAAAATCAAGTGAATGAACTTTATTGAACCCATTTAAGTATATATTATTTTGCTACTTTGTAATTTTTATTTTCTTTATTATTTTTTATGCCTTGCTTTATTAGGAATTAATTATTGACATTTGACTGTTTAATAGAACACAACAAAATAGAAGAATTTATGTCTTCCATTAAAAAATTTAGAGTACTATTTGTATTCTAAAAATATTGACAAATTGAAAATTATATTATATTATATTTAACGTCATCCAAATTGAACCTCAAAGAGTTAATCTGGTAGTTAAGAAGGTTTGCTCATTTTATTAACTTTGTGGATTCAAATCACCTTGAGACCACTTACCATATTTGTGGTTTATCTGAAAAATTGTGTTTGTAGGGTGTTCAATAGGTCCTGGGAATTAGTTGAGGTACGTGTAAACTGGCTCAGACACCCTGATTATCAAAAAATAAAAAATAGTCATCTAAGGTGTCTTCTCTAGTATATATACTTAAACCACTCAAAAGGACAATTTATTTTTTCCATACTTGTAATTCTTTAATCTGAAACACAATATCTTCTCTCGTATATATACTTAAACCACTCAACAGAGCAATTTATTTTTTCATACTTATAATTCTTTAATCTGAAACACGGTTTTTCTAAAAAAGTTTCAATAATTTGTTTGATACCTTGATGATAATTTAGTTAATTCATATTCTATTAAGACAGCCAAGGATAACAAAAGAATAAGGAGCCACCGTTATATATATATATACTTCAATCAGTTGATGTTAATTAAAAGATATTAAAAATAATTGAACATGGGATAGAAATGCATTTATTTAATTAAGTTCAGAACCTGCATTATTAAATAAGTAGGTAATGTTGATTTTTCTGTATTTAACTGTGGCAAGTGGAAACCATGGCCGCATCCACAGCTCCAGGGCCACTCCATTAAATGCCATGTTCATCGACGTTTCAATAGCAACTACATTGATTATTAAAAAATTAACACTAATACATTCATTTAATTATATTAACAAAAAGTTCAAAATCAGCCACATTTAGCGAAAATGTGATATCACCACTATTTTCGAATAATACAAGCACCACTCATTTTTTCTGCTGTGAAGGCATGTAATTTTCAAACCCTCCGGGCCAGGTTCCCAAAATCTTCCAGTGATCTTAAAATTCAAAGATTCGTTGTACTATTTATAACCACGCAGAATATATCATCATAATAATAGATTGACAAAGAGTTCCATTTATTGACATGAGAGAGCTGCAGCAAAATTTGGGAAAACCAGTTCTTCCAAGAAATTACCAAGTTATTGTACAGAAAGTGGGATTTTTTGTTTCTTTTTCAATTCATTTAGTGTAGAAAACGTGTGGGCCTTTCTTTTTAATAGGTCAAAAAGGATGCAAATGCCTTAATCATGGTGTGTGTTTGTTTAAAAGGAGACAAACAAAGAGCTACGTCTATATGCAGCAATAATATTTCATTTTCCCATTTCATTCCAACAATATAAGCCTTTTACGACTTCATCAGGAATTCAACATCGTAGACTCTCACTCCCCCCATCAATTTTGAATGAAGATTTTGTTTCTTTTGCTGCCACAAAAATCAAAAGGGAATAGATGAATTGTGTTCACACTAGCCAATTGTGAATCCAACATACACTTTACATATTTTAAATTGTATTTTATCAAAGGTTAACAAAGCATATCAATATAAATCTTTTACTACTAATCGATTTCATTATAAAATAAGTTTTATAATTTATACATTAACAATCAATCAAATATTTGTTATTAAAGATCCAATAAACTCTAAAGCTTATTACAAGTCTAAGCTTACACTTGTTATTAATCCAGATTATTCAAAATAAAGCGTAGTAGACAAATTCTGTAATGATCATATAAGCCCATCAAAATATCTTATTGAACTATACATTTACCTGATTTTATCAAACCAAATCATAATTAATGTTAAGCCACGCTTATAAACTTTTTTAACATAATTAACTTTCGTATAGTGTAATATTAATGTTATAACCCATTTTTAAAGACTATGATATAGTTGTGTTTATAAATAGTTGTTGATTGATTGATTTAAAGAAGTAGTTTTCATAGATAATCAAAGTGATTTGATCCTTTATAAGAAAGATGGTCCACCGTCCGCGTGCGCG